TTTGAATGAGAGATGAGTTTAAAGGGAAACCAGAAGTCAGTTATGATTAGTATTAATGATATTTTGGATGATTTAAGGCATGAAAACAATAGACTTTTAAATGAGTTATTGTTTGCAAACAAATGTCTCAATGAATTGAAAACTCATTTGAATTTCATTTGCAATAAATTGGAGACAATTATTACCGCAGAAGACAAACAACTCTTCAATCATTTGATCCAAACATTGAGTCAATTCACGGACAAGACATCACTCGTAGAGGAGATCTCAAGAAGTGATGAAATTGTTGTCAAACCTGTTGTCGAGAATACAATTGAAATAAAGAGTCCATCAGTTGTGCGAAGAAGTGATGAAACGATTACCACTTCTTCAGAGGAAAAGACAATCAAAACAAATGAAATAACAATTGAGACAAATGTCAGAAGAAGTGGAAGAACTGATCGCAAAGTCTACACAAGTTTACTAAAGAAACCAAGAGATCCAAATCGTGTCCTAAAACCTGAGCCCAAAGTGTATGCAATACCTGATCCCGAATCGGATCCCAATTCAAAGTTATTATTAAAAAGAGATAATTACGATCCGAAGACACAGCAGTATATGTGTCCTAACCCTCACTGCCGTAAAGGGTTTATTAGTACTCCTAAACTGAATAAGCACTTCCACGCCTCCCATTACCTCAAGAGGACAATCATTTGCCAAGAATTCAATTGTGGTAAAGGTTTTCGGACAAAACAAGAGCTTAAATGCCATCAAAACAATCTTCACAGCGATTACCGACCCTTTGAGTGCTCGCAAAAGGGCTGCGATTTTAAGTGTAAAACTGAAGGACAACTCAATTCACACACAATTCATATTCATTCAGACATCTATGCCTTCAAATGCAATGAATGCGAGAAAACATTCAAATCTCAAAACAGTCTTAACATTCATTTGCGGATCCATTCAACTGAAGACACATTTCGGTGTCGTTACGAGGGATGCAATCAATGGTTCAAAAATGTTAAAAGACTTCGTAAACACAAGATAGCGGTCCACAGCGCACACCAGACGTGGTATACATGCGAATGGCCCGCATGTGGCTATCGGAATGAATGCTCGCATAAACTTAAAACTCACCGCCGCTTACATACGGGTGAGCGACCGTTTGAGTGCCGGTGGCCGGCGTGTGGCAAACGGTTTCGTATATTAAAGGGTCGCTTAGATCACGAGCGGATCCACTCAAATACGAAGAACTATGTGTGTCATTGGCCCGGATGTGGCTATCGGTGCGTTCAAAGCGCTAATCTCACCAAACATATGAAAGTACATCAAAAGTGATTTCGTTGTGATATAATTAGTTTTAATTTTATTAACAGTAATGTAAAATTTTTCAATTTAACCATATGTGTTATAATTTATAAATTGAATAAAACTTATCATTTAATACATCAAAAAATAATTGTTTAAATTTAATTAATTTTAGTTATATTTGAATTTATTAATGAAAAAATTTGTAAATTGAAGTGTATTTATAAATTGTAAATTAAATAAAACTTCATTTAATACAACACTAAAAGTATTGAACGTTATTTATTCCCTCTGTTATGGCATTTGTCTCAACATTTGGTTACAAAATATTTGGCATAAAATGTGATTTGAATTGAGTTTTACTTTAAATTGTGATTTAATTGTGAATTAAATGTTGTTTTGAATGAGAGATGAGTTTAAAGGGAAACCAGAAGTCAGTTATGATTAGTATTAATGATATTTTGGATGATTTAA